TTACGAGTATATCATATTAAAGTTAAGAAAAACTTAAACCAGGCTTATAAGAATTTTTATTTTTTATTTTAATAACTATATTATACACAAGCCGTTTCTTCCACGTCGTTCCGAGAATACCTTCTTTAATCAATTGTAATACTTTTATATATTTTCGAAATGAAATTATTATTTTTTAATTAAACGATATTATCAGGCGATTTGAAATGCATCGAAAAGGAAAAGAATTAAGTAGTATTATATATAAAAATTCGTTCAAAAATTTATTTGTAATATGAAAATACCGATCTTTGAGTATGAGGCATTCTATTCTATTGTCGCTGAGTGTAAATTTTTTTCAAACGTGCATATAAATCTCATCAGTCATTATCAATGAAAATCACAATGGTTACTTCTTGTATACTTTGTCAATTTCGCAGCACCACCTGATGTAGATGCAAAATAATATATTTTAACTATTACGTAGCTTATTAAGGTATTTACAATAATAATTAGAATATCGTTTATTTGAGAAAGTAATTAGGATAATTTTGGCAAAGATCAATAGATTCAATAATTTGAAATAATTATCATCTTTTCAAAACTGGAAAGAAACTGGAAATGCAAAGCATGATTTTCTTTTTGGCAGACGAAAGTTATAGCGCTTATAGAGGAAGGTGCTTATGGTTTGAGTAGTTATATATAATATTGCACATATTTTTATACCTTTGGAAGTGATTAAAAAATTTCATTATTCCACATTACTATTAATGAAATTAAATCATTCCTTAACCACAAAAAACTGAGAAAAGAAAAGTTGTACCCGTTTCTTATTATTTGGTATTAGTTTTAATCTGTAGAGGTGGTATACTTGTATACTTAATTAGTATTCAATGAACTTGTTTTATCCCAAAATTAACTTAAAGCTTTTGAATTGTATTATTTTTTTATTCAATGCAAATATATTAAGGACGCGCATCTGCCGTACACCGTTACACCTTTTTTCACTGCAGCATCTTTCAAAATGCAAAGGCTACAGCAGAGTTTCAAACATTTTAGAATATACAAATAGTTATTCAAATATATTGTTTGAACGAACAATCCAACAAATATGTATTTAGTTTTATTTTAGAATTACCTTACTTAATTTCAACAGTTTAAAGTTTTAACACAAATATAATGCTGGTACGTTCATTATTAAATCCTTTAGAATTTTGTATAAATAACACTAAATTTTATGTCTAAATTGAAACAACTTATTGTGAAATAAAAAACAATACTGGTTTGGATACAAATTCACATCAGTGAATTAAACTACAAGTGTGCTATAAAAAGTCTAAAACCCATTAGCACAATTATGGGAAAAATTTAATAATATTTGAAACTTGAAACCGTGCATTAATACTCTTTTATATCATAACATAACGGTAATTTTTTCAGTTGTGGTCATTTAATATTTAATACAGTAAGCAAAAGTCGAAGATTTAGTTAGCTGAAGAGCCAAACTCATTTTACGATATTTTGTTTTAACAAATATTCTCTTTTTCGCTTTTTAAAAATTCAAATAAAAATCAAAAAAAAAAACGAACAGAAAACTTAACTCGTGGCCTTTGATTAAATAAAATTAAAAATATATACTACTCATATATATGTTGTCTCTGTTTATGTTAGGATGTTCTGCTTGCGGTGGCGAAAGAAACCTGGTTCAATATATTGCTGGGAATTTTTAAGGAACCAGATTATAGTGATGCTAAAGAGATGCGCTGAGGTCATAAAACATAATAGGTTCAGTACAATATTTCGAATAATAAGCCTAAATATCTTCACTATTTAAAGGGGATGCTTTAGTTTTGACCAGCCAGATTTTAAAAAGTAGTAAAGTTCGTATGTTACCTGTATGTAAGCTATGTCTAAATCTCTAATTTAATTAATAATGAACACTTGTGAATGTATAAAATACAAATTGAGTAGCACTTTGGAATAATGTGTTTTAAAGTCAGTTGAGTTTTTAACTTTTGTGATCTATGTTAATTATTTTAGCAACTCCTATGTACGACAAAAGAAACCCCACAACGTTAGTTCATTAATACGCAGTTGTACAGTGCATATATGTTGCATATACCTATTTGTTTATGGCATTATAAAGCTTTCTATTTCGGTCAACGTTGGTAAGCAGTACAGTCTTTTACGGTCTTCGGACTATTGAAAAATTAATCCGAACAAATTTATTGACTCGTAAAATTTTTTAGGGCTCTAGACAACTTTACAATATCTTTTCAAACATACACGTTTGTATAATTAATTTCAAATATATACATAGTATATTGTGAATACATATTTATATCTAAGATACACACATAGTAAATTAAAAAAAAAAGAAATTATTATACGTTTTTCTGACGTGTAATGAAAGTTCTTTGTCGCGCCGAAGACCGCTACAGAAACAGTTTTTTTCACTTAGGTCCCCCGACATACATATGTACATATTTGAGAGAGGTTTCCCCAACTAAAATCTGGGATCAAAACTCCTAATTAAAAAAAAAATGGAATTTCTGATTGCATTTAATGAATACTATGGTAATCTTATTTCAAAGATATTACACAACAAGTTAAGTTTTAACACAGTTCTACTAGTCAAAATCTAAGAAAAGTGCGCCGCTCTTTTCCAAATGGATACAAATAAGAAATGCTGCGCGTGGCTGGGCCAAAAGGTGTATACCTTGCAGTAACAGAGGTTAATTAATAATTAATTTAGTTATATATAAGGGAGCAACCTGTGCAATTGCATGTTATAGGCATAGTAAATCTCGTGAGAAAATATATTTTATTTTATTTTAAAAGCAATCTTAAAATTTGTCTTAACATTCTTAAGTTATTTATTTGTCTTAACTCAGTTCAGAGTATGTTGTGTTAACTTCAATTAAAATAACAATTAAAAATTAGGAATTGATTAATTGTGATCAAAACTAATTATTAATAAAAAGCATTTCTAATAAAAAATTATTTCGCTGCATCTAAAGCATTTCTTAATTGCAGCTGAATCGTCCGTCATGTGCATCTAAACTTTTAATTACAACTAATTTCAAATTCAAATTTTTAAATTTATCTCTAATTGATTATGATTATGTAAAGTGTATTTTAAAATGTGTTTTTATAATAGGTAAGCTCAAGGCCGATTTAAATTAGAGTGAGGAAAAATTCGAAGATCACATCTCTTCTTTCTACTGTTTTTCTATTTGTATTTAATTAGCAGATATCGAACCAATAATACCGACATAACATTCCAAAGCCCTTATCACTACGTAAACGTCAGGAATGTTATCTGTTGTTTATTTTGTGTCTAACATCACTCCCTCCCTCAGACTTAAGACAAAATAAAATATAAAATCTAATTACTAATTGATATGAAATATTAATTATGTTAATGAGCATGCCAAATTCCAAACAATATATTCTTGAAAAACAATGTTAAGTTTATAACCACAGTTTCTGATGAACTTTTGATGAAAAAAAGGTTGAAAATAAGTTTTTTGACGTTGCTTTTGTGCGACGCATTCGTCAAGGACAATCGAAGGAAGCTCTAGAGGTTCTTACTGAAAAACGTTTTAAAAATAAAAATGCAATTAGAGAAATTTTGCAATTCTCAGTCAAGTACAGAACAGCGCAAAGATGAGAGGTGATCGTATTTCTCTAAGCCATGTTCACGACGTTCAACTTAAGCAGTTAATGAGAGCAGCTAATTCGCCTTAAACGATTTCAAAGAATGTGATATAGGAAACAATTAAACTTGTAATTATTTGTTTCTTGCTGCCTACCTGTACATGAGATCAGTTACTCTAAGACATCGTGGAATATAAAAATGTATAACTCAAAGCTTCGATAATATGCTGATGACTGGAAACACCGGAATCAATGACGAAACTCAAGTTCTTGGCTTTTTCAAGTTAGTTAAAGTCGATTGGTGCCAATAAAAAGGGTGGGCAGCTCGGAAGACAAAATTGTATCCTTACCAACGGTTATTTCACAAAATTTTTGCACTGTGAGGCAAAATAAATTCTCCACAGATCATGCCGATGTTGAGCGCATACTACTAGCTGTTGTTGCATCGTGTATATATGCATCTATGTTTAAAAAAATTTTTTTTTAAATACTAAATAATTAGAGACCTATGATAGATCCCTGAGGAGCACCAGAATACAAATGCACGAGGTTAGAGCAATTATTACAGACTTTTGCCTTTAGAAATCCTTCGCTCAAATAGCTCTCTTTACTTGTATATAAATGTTTTTAATAAATTAGCAATTAAAATATTTATTTAAATATTCTTTACTCCAAATGAAGTAATTATGTTTGTTCAGATCAGCAAAATAATTCCTGCTTTGAGACGCACCCGAATGGCTGTTTAGAAATATTCAGTTTAGAAAATTCGTCTTTTTTTCGAAAGTATATTAAGAATATACTCTAAAAATTTTAGAAACAAATTCGAAATATTGACGAAATTATAGTACCTAAACGTGAGCGACTCGTAGTACTACGCGCTAAGGCCGCAAGGTAGCTCCAAACCTTTTATTGAAACTAAAAACGCTTTTTTCTCGAAACAACATTCTTACGGTCGGCCCGGATGACAGAATTATAAGCTTACTGAACAATAATCTTTTTGATTTTTCTATTTCAAATGTCCTTAAGCGACCAAATCACCGGGGCCAGCCAGTTTTATTTATTTTTTCTATTGAGGCGCTCACTTCAGTGCTACGAAGCTAAAAAATTGGGAAAATAAAGTCTGAAATATTTTTTTGTATACTCTGAGATACTATTAAAATATAAACATATTAAAAATAAAAGTGAAAATAATTTAATTTTTTTTTTTGCAAAAAAACACCCCCAAAATGAATTTAAGGAATGCTTTCAGAGTTATCAAAGTAGCTTGAAATAACCATAGTAATACAATAATCCTGTTTTTACAAAAGACAATCGGAAGTTCGAATCTATTAGGTTGAAGTACCCAGTACCCAGTTACATACCTTTGTCGAAGGGTGAACTACCAGTTCCGCTGTACTTTTGTGCCGAAAGTATCCACTAAAATTACTGCACTTAAGGAAGGAGTAAACTGTATAAACAATGGCACTTTTCAACCAATTATAATTTCACTAACACAATTTCTTTCGCAAATGGCTAATGGAGTGAGTCTTCAGTGATTTCAATGCCAATAATATTGTTAATTGCTGTTCAAATTCGTATGATTTTCGTTTACATAAATTATTAAACATAAAATAGATTTGCAATTTCTTCAATAACGACTTCAGGTTGCGATCCTTCGCCAAAACGACGATCTCGAATTTATTATGACGGGTATTGAGTGCGTTGAATGATCTTTTGTTGTTGCGATAGGGTGGCTGCTGCAGTGTATACGGTGGCACTTTCATAACTCTGACCATACAAGGTGCGCAAGAAAAGACACTTTACACTCCCAAATATATATTTGAGACAATTAATGAAATAACCTTAATTAAAAGTATTGTCAAAATACGCAGCACCTTCAACGTAATTTCTCTTTTTGCCTTAACGATTTTTGATACTCAACTATTTTTGTAATAATTTCGAATGGATGTTTTTTCGCGAATTCGCATAATTTGTCTGCTGACGTCGCCAAGGCATGAAAATGCCCCTTGAAAGTCAAAATAATATTTTTCCGCGACTCTTTTTCACAATACGCAAAATTTTTACTTATTTCAGTATGTATATGTTTCTTTGTCACGACCTTAATGATTTTTCTTTGGCGGTGATATTTTTCTTTATTTTTAACACAAATAGGCACTTCTACGGCGTCCCGACGTCAAACGCGTTTTCACTCGTACAAATCAGTGTACAAACATTAGCATATATTCAATATGCCAGGGTATTGAAATATGCACATATTATATGTATTTGAATTCGCTATGTAGGTTTGGCTGGACCAGCGCGTCTGTGCGTTTGATGATCTTCTTCTTCGGTTCACTGATCTACGAAACGTTCGCTATTGAGGGGATCTACAATGTTGCGTTGTGTTGCCTACCGAGCTGTTGCAAAAACTCTGAACGACTGACCACTCGCTCACTGCGCCGGTGGATTTATGCTTTTTACTCTGCAGCAAGCTCGACGCTCTGTTTCGCAATTTCGCGCACTGAGATGTTTTCGCTCTCAACGCATAGATAGACATCGTTAAACAACCAACTAATTTTATACATACATACATACATATTTATGTAGTAGACAGACGGCGCTGGTGAATCTTTTGCGGCGAATTAAGTTGATGGCACGTACTCATAGATAGATTGATATGAAATTGTCTTCTTACCACAAGAACAGTGTTATCACTCCGAGTGCGACAACAAACACTGTCTGGTGGTTTAACCCGTACATAGATGGTTGGTATTCTTTGTGTCATATGGAAAATAAGATATATTCATTACTGACGTAGGCAGCCGAATAAATAACAGCGCGCCAGTTTAACGGGGGATGGGGCCATGTGTAGAAGTTCACGCAAGTGTGGAAAATTTGTGACTACCAAGCAGTTCCCGACTTCCGGTCTTTGACCAACTATCCCCTGGGTAGCCAACAAATATCCGTTTGGAGACGAGCTAAAGTCCTAAGCGTTTGTGCGTTGGGTTTGGGACCCACCACATGAAAAATAAACTCTAATGAAAAATTGTATTATTCCTCAGATGAGAAATACCCCTTTTAACAACGACCCCCCCAAATGATCTAAGGAAGATCATTTAGAGGGCATGCACCTGGAATGTTCGGTCCCTTAATTGGATGCCACTGCCCAGCTGGTAGATCCTCTAATCACCGCCATCAAGAAGTGGGATGGATGGGACAAGGAAGAAGGTGGGTCCTTGTGAAATATACTACAGCGGCCATATAAAGAAGCGTAAATTCGGTTTCGTCTTGAACTCGTTCAGTAGCAGGCAAATTCGATAATACTTACTTACTTCGGAGCAGACACCGCTTATGCGATTATAGCCGAGCTAACAACATTTATTTCTTCTTTTCGTTATTTGGCGCCAATTGGAGATACCAAATACAGGCGGGTCCTTCTCTACTTGGTCTTTCCAACAGAGTGGAGGTCTTCTTTTGCTTCCACTGGCTGGTACTGCATAGAACACTTTCCAAGATGGATTATTCATATACATACAGATCACATGACCTAGCCAGAGTAGCCGCTGCTTCTTGTTTCCATTAACTACGGTAATGTCTCCGTTTATCTCATACAGCTTGTCATTCAAGCGGCTGTAGTATTCGCCGTTCCCAACTCGTTGAGGACCATAAATCTAACGCAAAACCTTTCTCTCGAAAACTCCTAACGCCGACTCATCAGATTTTGTCATCGTTCACGCTTCTGCGCTATATAATACGACGGGTGAGGACTTTACTTTTCAATTATCTGCTCAGTCCAAAGTAGTAGTTGACGGTAGTTGGTCCTTTTTATGGGTTGGGCAGGCTTTCTAAGTAAATATATCAATTAAGTAGGAAAATATGAGTAGTTAAAGTTCAATTTTAACCGTCAAAGACAACGTTGCGAAGTCTTAGCAGTGTGGTGTTGCTGTGTGAAATTTCATGCGATCGAATTCTGAATAGACCAATTGCCAAAGCCTACCCCTTCGGGTGCATATCTGACATGAAACAAACTGTTTATATGCATTATCTGTAATGCAATGTAATGTAATTTTCCAAACCTCTATACATATATACATAAATATTGTGGAAACTTCTGGTGCAATATTCGCGTCATCTAATACCGTATGCACATACGAGCAAATACATATGTATGTATGTATGTACTATGATAATATTGTTGTTTATTCTTTGGGTTTAAATGCATGGAAATTTTATAAATAGTACGCTGACATGTCAAATATGTAAATAAAGCAGTCTAGCCGAATTATGAGTTTACAACAACTAATTGTGGGTGCTTAACAACATCAACTACTTGCAGTTGCCATCCAAGCAGCTAATTATCTGTATGTATGTATCTATGTGCATTCTTCAATTGTTACTCAAATATAATATATTAATAAAAAACTCTATTGTGGATGATATCCTCTGTTTTTGGATGTAAACAGTGTATTATTAGCAAAGTAAACTTATGTTTGACTTTGATTTACATTAATTTCTTTATTACTATGTTTTGAATATCAGATAAGCGTTGATACTAAGACCAGGCCCACTTTTTGAACACATGCTAAATATATGTATGAATATGTACATCAAACCCAACAAAGCTTTCTGTTTAATATCAACTTGAGAATCATTTTTTCAAATCTGCTCGTAATTTTTTTAGCTACCGTAGTAAGAATTGACTGATTCTCAAATTAGGATCAAATACACATTTATATTAATTTTATTATTAGCATACATAGCATATCATACATATACATTCCAGGAGGCATCCAATTACCTTCGAGCGCTACTCTAGAAAGATCTACTTTGTTATTAAGTACTAGGAATAATCTTCAATAGAACTTTGTCTTGAAACAGTCACATTTATGTTGCATTAGATAAGATTTACGGCATGCTTCGCGCTTTATAGACTATTCAGTATTTCACACCACTAATAATTCGATTGTTATTAGCAAAAACTTTCTTCTTACCGATCTTATTTCCGATTGCGAACTGTTTGCCAACTGCGATAGTATGTTTTGTAGTCCTCAAAGTCATCTACAATAACATCGCCGGATACGTCATGAGCACATAAGTAATTTTGCACTCAAATTATTTTCCATAAAATTAGACGATTTACTGAAGTTAAAGTGCCTAATGTTACTTTACAAAGTCATTAGCACTCAGGAGCCCAAATATCTCTTAGATCGAGTTCAATTCACTAAACCTACCCGTTCAATTAACTTACTGAGCATGAAATACAGTTGCCTGGTATCTGAAAATCAGTTCTTTGTTTTTACTGTTCGTCTTTGGAACGCTCTACCCGAAAGGATCAATACCATTCAAAGTACGTTGAGCTTTTGAAAAGAACTCCTACATCACTGTGCATAATCAATTAATTGCTAATCTGCACGCTCATTCTTATATATCAAATATTTCAAATATTGCAAATACTACTTAATTTTTTTATTGAAATCCCTAGCCCTTAACGTTGTTAACACGTTTAGAGAGAAAAGGACAGGTTTAATGTTTGAATTAAGATGTTATTATTATGTTTTATTTTAAATTATTAAATAAGTAAATAAAGCACACAGTAGTTGGGTCTTAAACCTCTATAAATGAGAAAGAATATCAATATATTTTTCTGTTCGCTGGGTAGGTATATGTGCATAAGTATATGTATGCACGTACTTGTGGAGGGGTTCACTCGGGAAATTTTCCACTAGTAGGATGGAATTATAGCAAGAATAAATCAATATATCTTGTTTTATTTTATGTAAATTAAAAACTAATGCATTTTTTAATTCATTCAATTATACTAGTTTTTATAAGTAATTGTTATTGGTGATCGATAATATATTTAAGGGTATTGTAAACGGAAAAACTAGGCTAATTTCTTATTTAATAAATATTGCTAAATAATAAAAACATGTCTAAGATGACAATGTCTTCATATACAATGAACTTTTCAAACTGCATGATTCGAACGAGGTAAGCTCAATTGGTCCACAAGACCGCTTTTTGTGTCCGAAATTCCATTTTTCAAACTCCTTAAGGTCAACAGCTTATTTTAAGTCGCTTCCGATGGAAAATTAACCATTATTTCATTGCTTGAAATAGAAAAATTAACTGTTTTAAAGTTTTTCTATAATATTGGATATTTCTTTGCCATGGTTACAACCCCTCTGTATGGTCTCAAGTCCGATTAACAGTATTACCAATGCGGCGCAAAATTACATAAACTTAAATTTTAATTTAGAGCGTTTTTATTGTTTTAAAAAATAGTCTTGACACATTAACATTGGTTTTCCTTAAAGCAAGTGTAATGAACTGAAGGAACTCGCCAGTTTTGTATACTGATGCTGAACAAAAGTAAAAAAAACTCCGTCACGCTTTTTAAGCGTCCGAGATCAGCTTAGCTTCTCCTCTAATTCATGGTGCGTGTTTTGATGTCCCTAGCATCAGTTACTTATACGGGTTTTCCACTGCATCGTGAATTAGATTGTTCGCCCTCTCAGTTACGTTACGAGTTATCCACGGAAAAAAAGATTTTAGTAGTAGTTAATAAAATCTTGAATTGGTAATATAAATAACGGGTTCTTTACTAATTTCTCTTTTTTTCTTCTTTAGCATCTAAATAGTGTTTGGTCTCAAATAAATGTTTGTGTATTGGAATTTTCTTTTATGATTTTCACCTATTTTGTTCTCATTTGTCAGCTGGGCTCGTTAAAATTTCGAAAAGAATTAGAGAGGGCAACGATTTAGTCGTGATTCGCATGAGACTTGAGAATAAATTAAACAACAACAATTTTAGTGTAATTCGCTCACAAAAATTTGTATGCCGAATTGAGCAATTTGGCATGTATTTGGAGTGCGACCTACGATCGGTAGAGCGAAACACGTAATTGGTCTGCTTTGCAAATGCCGTATTACAGTTTTTAAGCTGACTTGACGGCCGTGAAATATACTCGAAGACGTGGAGACCGCTTTCAGAAATAACTTTTTCTTACAGTTGTAGATACTAACCTTGGGTTGGTACCAACCCTTCGCATAGCAACAAGTGGTCCTATTCAAAAATATAAGAAGATGAGTATCAAATGAATAGTATATAAGTATGCTTATTTCTATTTAATATTATGTTACACATTTATTTAATTTATTATATAAAAAATGATTAAAATGTAAAATATTGCTATTAGTAATTACTAATTTAAACTGATTTGAAATTTTTTTCGGTATAAGTAAACTTGCTACAATTTTTCAATTTCATTAGTCTTCAAAACTTAAATGAAGAAAAAATTGTTTGAGTTTTTTGTATGTAATTGATGGCTAAGAAAGGTTCCCACAATCCTTTGTGAGACCAAATTTTAGAAAGAAAAAACCAGTTTGAGAGGAAGAATATTTTTTTCAGGTAAAGAAAATGGTTTAGCTTATTTTTCCTAAAATAAAGTTAC